CATAGAACAGAAATATTAAACTTTGAGCTATTTAATTTTATTTATTTTAGACAAATCATATACTAAAGTCTCTAAACAATTGTCACATAAGACAGTGATAAATGGTGTGATTGTATAAATTTTAATTTTACCATACATTCTATTAAACAGCACATGTTTCAAGACTTTAGTGTATGATTTGTCTAAAATAAATAAAATTAATTATCAAGGTTCAATATTTCTGTTCTATGTATATACTAAATTAGTTCTAACAATATTTATCATTTCCAGTCAATTTCATTTTGTGTTTTACAAGATTTTTTGTTTAGTTTATGTTTATAATCTTTTTTCTATGGATAAATAAAATTCAATAATATACCTAAAATATGATATAAACATTTTTTTACACTTAATTCTCTGCCCACACTGTGATGTGGATAATTTTGTTGTCAATCATAGCGTTAACTACAGAAGGCGACTTATGCTATATTTTTTAAAATATAAAATTGACTGAAAATTACAAATATTGTTGAAACTAATCTAGGATACTCAGAACAGAAATATTAAACTTTGATCTATTCAATTTTATTTATTTTAGACAAATCATCCTCTAAAGTCTCGAATCATGTATGAATAACCTGCAAAATAAAAAATTTTCAAAGGTGTAGTAGATACTTACTAAGGCATTCACATTCACCAACATATCACTTATTTCATTTAATATGAATTTCTAACAAATTTGGTCACTCGCACTACACTGCTCTGGATTGATAAGCAGTCTTGAGTGTGCACCAAAGTAACAGAACAATGTAGTGCGAGTGACTAAATTTGTTAGACCGAATTCACTATTATTACTTTTTTATAACACTTTCTGAAAGGTTATGTAAAAATTTCAAATCGTAAGCGCACGCAGCGCGGCTTCTCAGCGCCATCAGCGCACCTAACGTCAGAAATCGGAAACTGGACATTTTAGCAGGACATTTTAGCTGGACATTTTTATCGTATTATTTTAGACATTTCGACTTTGGACTATTATAACTTTTTTTCTACAGCACCTACAGTAAAAACAAGCATACTTTTCTTATATAATTTGGGTATGCGCTATCGATTGAGCCTATTATCAACTCAATCGGCCCAGCCGTTATTGAGATCCGATAATCTCGGCTCGTCTCAACTTTCGGGCTCGCGTAAAGATACACGGTCGGTCTTGCGCTGCGCGTGAACTTGGCGCGAGACACTACCGTGTCTCTTGATATGTAGTATATAACAAGTTCTAACATGCAAAAAATATGCCAAAAATTTTTTTTTTCTAAATAAGTATTGCACTTTGTTTTACGAATCAAATTTATAATTCCGGTTTTAAATATTCTTAAATATAAATATGCAAAGAAAACTTGTACTAAAGGAAAATAAAAATACAGGAAGAGAATTCTATAGTAACGTTGAACAATTATATATAAGTACAATAAATTTTATTATAATATAATTATTAATGATAGCGATAAAAAACTAAAATACATACATAATAATCGCAAATGATCAAATTTATTAAATTTCTCAAGTTTTTAAATTTTTATTTATATTTTGTGACTTATATAACTTAGTCAGCTCTTCTACTTTGTCCTTCTGAACGCCAGAGTTAACTAGTGGTTTTTCTATCCTTTGTTGCATTATTTTACCATCTATATTTTGAATTGGACTTAATTGCACGTTGTGTTCCGATGATTGCGATATCTCCTCCCTCCATTTTGTTAACCAATTATTGGCAATATTCTAAGAAGATTGAAACATTTACTGTCATTAAATAGAAACTTTCTACACATGATCATATTTATTAAGACAAGTTTAATTTTTTGGGATATTTTGTTATAAGAAACATAAATACTATAAATTATTTTATAGGACGTATTTAATAAAATTATTTTATATAAAAAATAGTAATAAATAATTCTGATTAGAATAAATCATAGTAAATCCAATCTTTTTCTATGTATATCTATCATTTAAAAATTGAAGTAAGTTTCAAAATTTATTTATATTAAAGATATTTAAGAGTGCTTATTTAATAAGAATATTTACTTACAATTATAAAGTTATTTTATTAATTACTTATACAGAATGTCCTATTTTAATTTAGCCCCCCCCCCAAAAAAAAACTTTTATTTTTGATTGTAAAAAAAATGCTTTAGACAAAAGTTGTAGGGTTTGGAGGGAGAAAAAAGATAAGGATATTGATTTGACCTTGGGTGGAGACGCTTCAGAGATTTGAAGATCAACTTTAATTTTTTAAATAGAACCACCCTAATTTTTTTATACAAATCAATTCCTCGTATCATTCGTCGTAAAAAGTTATAAAGGTAGGATGGCCAAAAGTTGAATAGTTTACGAGATATTTTATACTTTAATTTGACATGTAACACGAGAGGTCCTTGCACGCGTTCTAAAACTGCGACCTTGAGGGGGTGCTAACAAGAAGTCACGGTGGCGCTAGCAAGAAGTCACGATGGCGCTAGTCGTTGTAGAGCAAGTCATAAAGAAGGCTGAATAACTTAATCTATATCAGAAATGTACAATATCTCAGTTTTTTCTTACTTAAATTCTTCTTTGAGCGTCGTACAACCTGTCAAGTACTCACATATCCCAATTGATTGTTACAGACATAATTTTACATAAACTATGAAATATCTCGTTAAATATTCATTTCTCAATTATCTTACCTCAACACTTATGCACAAAATAATAAGAGGAATCGATTGGTGTAAAAAAACACATAGTTGTCTTAAAAAAAGATATGTAGCTGAAATAATATCATATTTTTTTAAAGACAACTATGTATTTTTTTACACCAATCCACGATTCCTTTCATTATTTTATGCGTAAAAGTAAGATTGAAGTAAGATAATTGAAAAATTAATATTGCGATGAATATTGCAAGGAATCGATTTATGTAAAAGAATTAGAGTGATTCTATTTTTAAAAAATAAAGATGACCTTCAAATCTCCGAAGCGTCTCCACTCAAGGTCAAGCTAATATCCTTATCTTTTTTCCTTCTCCAAACCCTACAACTTTTGTCTAAAGCATTTTTTTCTATCAAAAATAAGTTTTTTTTAGGGGGGCGGGGGGGTAAATTAAAATAGGACACCCTATATATTGCTAAATTTAATACTTATATATTATTATGTTGCTGCTAATTTTTAAGATTTAAAATTAGTATTAAAAATTTTTTAAAATACTTTTCTGTCAAAACGACTATATTCAAATTTTGTATAAAAAACATTAAAATATCTAAAATTATGTATTAAAACATTAAAATATAAAATTATACATTAAAATTACTAACAATTAGAACATTGGAAATAGATAATTTTTTACTTACATCCTGATTTTCCGACTTATTCATTGCTTGTACTTTTTTTAAGTTCTTTTCCATTGCTTTGAGTTTATCCATTTCTTTCTGAAGTCTACGCTCCAATTGATATTTTGCTACCGCTTGTGCTAATGGTCCTAGCTCTCCTTTCATTGCGGCACTAAACGTTGTCTGTTTACGAAAAAAAATTTTTTTAATTAAAATTTTTTTAATTTACAAATTACGCAGCAGTACATATTTAGTATACAAATTGTAAAATCTCTTACATCTCGTCGTCTTTTAGCATCACTTGATGTACCTATTGGATCTGTTTCAGTTTGCGGACCTAATTCAAACAGCATTTGAAAATCTGCGTGCTCACCTAGCCGAAACCCTATGCCAAACCTTGAGTCGGTTCCTGTATTTTATTTCATAAAAATTTAACTTCTGTTAATCAGGATTAAATTATTAGAAATATAAAAATGTTAAATTATTAATCAGAAATATAAAATGTTTTGCACACTATGCTTTACACTAAGCTGTATAATTGAATCTGTAATATGTATTTATATCATATGTTTTCCAATGCGTATAAATACTGAAAAACAACTATGAATCTTTTATATATGACGGACCATGAGGCGCGTCCCAATAATCGAAAGTTCAAGCCGCGAAGTGTTTTTCAATAGTCAAGAGTATGAGTCGCGAGAGCGCTTTCATCACCACGCGGAAATTGCTGACGTTTTGCTAATAATTTTGCAATATATTATGTTATTATCAATTTGCTTAAAAGTTCCTATTTATTAGCAAAAAATAAAAAAAAGGTATTAAATTAATTTTTGTAATATAATATAGTTTATTAATTTAAATACAAATACAAATTAAAAAAAATTAATTTAATAATAAAGTTTGGTATAATATATCTCGAAATAAAAAACTGTACATAAACCAACATCGCATTTTTTACCCGTTGACCATAGTCTTGCAGAAAGAGTTAAAAATCAAGTATTTGGATTTGCTAGTCATTTAATTCACGTTTTCTTCTATCAATAAACATCATAAGCTTTAATTTTTGCGTATGTTCTTTACTTTCTCAGATAGTCCACAATAACAATTTATTTCTAATTGAAAAAGTGTAAATATGGTTATCATTAATTGGTTGGAATATAAATATCTTGTTTGAAGAGTTTAGAACGCTAAAATAAGTTGTAAACTTTACTTTAAGTTAAGTTAATAATTGCATTATTAAATATATTTTTTCTTAAATAATATAATATTTTAAACACAATCCAACATTACATTGAGGACAATAATAATTTGTTTTTCCGCAATGCTTCTTCTATGATAGAAGGTTTTCTTTTTTTATTGTTGTCAGGGCTAATCTAACGGACACGGCAAAGTATTTAATAACTAACTTTATTCAAGTAACTTACTATATATTAAAATGAACGTGCAGACAAACAGAACACTACAAAATGTATAGAGCGCGAAACAACTCAAGATAAGAAAAAAACATAGTGAAACACAAAACAAAACTAACTCATAGGGAGAGCGACACACTCATTCGGATTAGGTCCATTTCTAACAATTGCAATTTAGACATATAAATATTCCTCATATATGTAACGACTAAATAAGCGTGGTTGTTGAGAAGATTGGCGGTGCGCAAAATGTCAAGATAAAATTTTTAACAATGTAATTATATTACAAATAAATGAAAGCTACCACAAGCCCAAGCTAGATCTAGTTGCTCATTAATTAATTTTAAAATTTATGTACACTGATGATGGTTAAGATAAATGTGCCGAAACGTATGTATATATTGTGTCCTCGTCGTTTTGATTTTTGTCACCTGGTATTGCGTTTAACAGCTGATGGAACCGATTGATATATTGATTTGCGGAGTTAATAAAAGAGAATAGTTGCTAGGAAATTGTAAATATTGATTTATAAAATTAATAAAAGAGAATAGTTACTAGGACTAGGATTGTAAATAAAGAGAATGGTTGCTTGGTTATTGTAAATAAAGTAACGGAGTCAGATTTTTGGGAGCTAGCGAAGTGTGCAGACGCGTTTCTGCTAGCTTAGAGATGTTCGATATCTTTCAGTACTGTTCTGTAAAGTTCTGTTCAGTGTTGTGTAAATTAAAGTTTCTGTTGTGTTTAAAAAGTGTTCCTGATTCAATTTTCTTTTGCGAGTGTCGATTGTGACGTGTCGAGAAGATCGTTCGCGGGCGCAACAATACATTATAATATAAAAGAATATATGAGTAACTAGATCTAACTCGAGCTTGTGATAGCTTTTATTTATTTGTAATTTATTAGATAAATATGTAAGTCCAATTACATTGATTAATATTTAGTGGAATATAACTATATATGTGTGTACCTTTTTTGACTGGCGGTATATTCGAGTAAAGCAGGCTCAATATCGTTGGGACTTCCTCAGGAATGATTAAACTTGAAGCATCTAAAAATTTTGCTTTTGTATATTTGCTATTTGTTAAATATAGACGATAACAAATTTGTAAAAATAGCTTCCTATTAACATAATGATAACTGATTATTCTTTAACTACAAAATTTTTTATTTCATAATTTTTGTTCTCATTCTAAGTAGATAAAAGATGTTACAGATTAAACGACACTTACCGTAGAAGACTAGCAAGAGCAGTGATCGTGTTATCGCGGTCTTTACGTTCATCGTCAGTACTTTGAAAGGAAAATCTTTGCATGCACACCGATCGCTTATGTGCTCCACTAAAGCATGTCTTTGTTAGCTTCCACAGGTATTCTGTAATCAAACGCGGTAGATAAAAATTATTTCTCATGATGCAATATAATATTTTTATAGTTTAAAATACTAATTGAATATTAAATTGTTACATTAATTCCTCCATTAAATCAAGGAACTAAAAAAATTCTTAAACCTACCCCCCAAAGAAATTACATAAAATAAGAAAAAATAATTTTGAAATTAAAATTGAACAAATTTATTACAAATGTATGTATATTAAATAAATATAAGAGGAAAGACATCAAAACGTTTTTAAAAGATATTTTTTAGCTAAAAATTTTAAATAAAAATTTATGTGTGTATATATATATATATATATACTAGAAACTATCCTCTATCAAATGGTATCATATTTTTTATAATATTCTTCATAACTTTCAAGAAAATAATGTTTTTATAAGACATACGAAAATTGGGCTGTAAAAAATTAGATTTCAAAACCGGCATATCTGTTAAAAATTATAAAACAGGTCAGTAATATGGAAATGTACTACAATAAATTGTTGAATGATACAATAAGATTGTTGAATAACACAAATTTATTGGAAATTTTGTATTAATTACATCCTACATTAGAAAGACACAGATATAGAGAAGACATGATATTGCAAAATTTAGTATTACAATGCATAAATATCATTTTGTAATACCTGTATAAAAATAAAATATATAATATAATAATCCCTTTATAGAAATAAAGATATTTTTAAACTTATGGTGTGATATGATTTTTGGTCATAGAGTGTCGCATGTAGCGCCCATCACAGGATATGCCGGTTTGCGGTACACTGTAATTAAATTTTCCAAATCGTATTGTGAAAAAAAAACAATAAAGTTAAAAATAAAAATAAAATATTTTTAGAAAGCATTAGAATAGCTACAAGCTTGATATTATCAAAAAAGATAATTATTGTTATTTAGACTACATAATTTTCGAAATAAAATCATAAAAATAAAACTATAAAATTTTATGATCTTTATATTAGCTAATTTAGCATCTAAATAAACAGAGAATATATGAACTGTACAGTTTTTAATGAGTTAATCAGCTAAACAATTTACGTTTATATAATTTTTGATAAAATATAGCATTTTATTTCTGAGAAATAGGAGTATATCACTTTAGAAGGCCTATATCACATTCGGCGCCTTTTTTCTAATAATAAATACCAATTCAAATAAACAAAAAAAATATCAATAAAATTGTTTAGAAAATAAAAATTTTTGTTATATAATAATAATATGATAATTTAATAATATATAATTATATCAATAATAATATATACTATTGCACAAAAAATAATTGACACTTTTTAGATATTCAAAATTAAGCAATTTTTAAATCGCTGAAACTCGTCAAAAATCGCCGAAAAAATTAAAAAGCATTTTAAAGCTTGAAGTTTGTTTTACGTGTTAAATTTACTTTTACGTGTATTAAGCTGTTGTTTTTAAATTTCTTTCCACTTTTAAACTAAAAAAAAAGAACACATTATTTTGTTTCTTAAAATTACGTACTTTCAACTTTCTACAGCTCGTAAAAAATGACAAGTACCAAAAAACTAGAACGTACACATATATAATGCGTTTTTTTTAAATTTTGCTACGATTATTTTTAGCCGAGTTACGCGACTTTGAAACTAAATCTGCATTTTTTATACTAATACTGATGCCGATAATAATCGTTATTTTTCACAAAATTGGAGAGTTGGTTAAAAGTACATAATTTTAAGAAACAAAAAACATGCTTTTTTGTGCTTAGAACTATAAAAATAAAAAATTTTCAAAAAAATGGCCTGAAGCACGTAAAAGTACAAACTTCAAGTTTTAAAATGCTGTTTTTAATTTTTTGTCTGTTATGATTTTTTGCCGAGTTTTAGCGATTTAAAAATTGTTCAATTTTAAGTGTCTAAAAAGTGTTCTTTACTTGATCAAATTATTAACTTACATTAATTTATTTAAAAAAAAATATTAATTACAAATATTTCCTCTAATAAAAACATTAAAATTTATATTAACTAAATCTCTTTGAACATTTTAGTATAAAATGAGAAATACATTGTTTTTAAATCTTAATAGCTTTTAATTATTATTGTATAGTCAATGCATTTTTAATTGTTTCAACACAATAAAATGTGATGCAGCATAAACTCGGTGATGAGCTAATGGTAGTTGATATTTGACCACAAATTTATGCCAAATTCAATTCACATTTAAACAATTATTACTATTGCGTTCACACATTGGCATTTGCGCATCTTAAGTTTCTTTTGCTAGTTGACTAATTTATTAGCTGCTGCCTAAGTAAAGTCAGAATTGCGTGAAATTGAAAAGTGAAACTGTCGGGTAATCGCAAGCAATGTCTATCGTTCTCCAACGAGAAAACACGAATATATATTCCCGCATTAAGCACCGCATTTTTCACCGGTTTTTTTATATCATGCACTATTTCGGATTATATCACTCACATATTTGGGACTGTCGTTTCTTCAATAAATTGTTTTTTTTTTTCGAATAAGCACGTGTATCGAATTGGCGAGTATAAAATGAGAAAACTTCACGACAAAAAAGATAGTTCACGTCGTATGACAAATGCGCTCCTTAGGCTTACGTGAAAGCGAAATTTGGAGGACCAACTCGACAAACAGCGTTCGCCGATCAGCGTTGTAAACTTAACTGAAATATCGTTATGATATGCGTGTGTCTTCGGCGTCGCACATGCCGATGCGAGAAAGAGTGCTCGCAGAAGTACTTTTGAAGTGAAAGGAAAGGCAGCAAGATCGAGGTCACTCGCGGCCAAACGAGTGACGATATTGACTCTTGTTGAACTCTCTCTTACTTATGGTTTTTTTTTCTATCGTCTTTGTCGCATGTTCATTGTGCAAGAATATCATACATCTTTATGCATTGATGCAATCACTGCGAAGAAACTATCGTTGGACGACCTCGTGCTACTGATTTTTGATCGGCAACTCGAGGATATTATTCTGCGATATGTCGCACAAGTTACACACGAGAGCATTTTAAGAATTGCTATTAGAAAATTACACCGGAAAATGATAGTTAAATTACACATGTACGCTTGGTTCGGCGTCTCGTAATGAAAGGAAAACTCTTCGCTAACAGGATATAAATATAGATTAACATCTTTCACAATAACGGAACGCATCTGTCATTTATCATTTTCTTGTGTTCGTTTACAAAAATTTGAACGATTAACTGTAACAACAATATGATGTATGATAAATAAATATAAAAATTTGAACATTTTAAACATAAGACAATTTTGCTTATCTTAAGCGTTCTGATATCTCAGTCTATAATTTTTATTATACAAAATATTCTTAAAAATAAAGATTTCTTTATTTAGCTAATTTAAAATTTATTTTTTGTAATAAAAAATTGAAACATTAACAATAATAATTAAGTAAAAAAAATAATTTTTAAAAAAAATTTTTTTGACGAAACAAATTTCTGAAGCCAAATGGCGACCAAAGATTAAAAACATATCTTTCAACTTATTTTAATCTGTTAACTGCCAAAGAAAGAGAGAGGGAAGGGGATAAGAGAAGATTGCAAGTTATGATGAAAAATAAAGATTCGTAGCTCAAATATTGATGCACCACATATAATATGAGCATCTCAGAGGTAAACTATGTTAAGGCAGTTGTCTCGCGATAATATGACCTAAAAATTAATTTCTTACAAATGCATCCAAATTTTCATTATATCTTTATTGAAGTAATATTTAAATGGTCCTGCAAGAAAAAAATTTCCTTTTTTTTATTTATATATCTATATATTTTATATTTTATTTATATATTTTGAATGGTAAATTTTTTTTCTTGTAGGATCACTTAAATATTACTTTAATAAAGATATAGCGAAAATTTGGATCAATTTGTAAGAAATTAATTTTTAGGTTATATTGTCACGAGACAATTATCTTAAGTCACATGAACATAATTTTTCAGGAGAAGGATTGTAAAGAGATTTTTCACTTTTTATATAATCTTAGTAAAATACTCATAATGTTTTGTAGATTTTTTTGTATTCACAGATATAATATCAAATTTCGATATGTTTCAGAAAATGAAGTTGTGTGATTATGGAATATGATTTTAATATGACTTAACACTGTTTACTTGGTGAATGTGACTTAACATTATACAGTCAACATCTCTATTGAAATGAAAATATTCATTGAAACATTTGCCATTGGGTAAACATTGGAGTATAGAATCTTGTGAGAATAACTCAATTTTCGAAAAAATGTGACACTGTTTACCTCTGAGGTGCTCATATAATACTATGCATATCTTGTTTTAAAAAGTACCATACTTTGCAACAGTAATTTTTATATACTATAATAAATAATTTTATCTTTTAATGTTTATTTGGTTCTATCATTTTTATCATATACAGGGTGTCCCGCACAAGATGAATCACCTCTCGTGTACAGGTAGAGCGGGTTAAACCGAGAAGAAAAGTCCTTTACTGTTTTGCGATTTTCGCAATAATTAATAAGGAATTAATTAAAAAATATCGGCCAATTCGCGTGAGTTTAAATGCGCGGAGAGAAGAGATCCGTGGCGGTACAGCCCACTGTTATTTGGTTTACTAGGCACGCGATGAATCGTTGGGAAGAGCCTTTTCTACACTGAGAAAAATGGTTTTATTATATTAACAAAATTCTTCTGGTTGACCGTATTTTAGTCGAACGAAACAAAATTTCTGGTTATCGTCACAAAATTTTACACCTTATATCAACACCGTTTGGTTAACTTTACTATAAGGATTTGAATAAGTGTTTTCTTGTTGGATCTACAAAACTTCTTGTTATATTTACATAAATCGCAGCGCTCTGCAACAGTTTCGTCATCACTCACTAAACGGTTGATCAACTGTTCGCCGCATTCATTTGTTACACTGTTACTGCGCCCTCGCTACTCGCGGCGTGTATCGCGCGCATTAGATCTTTCGCGAAGCAATGGCGTTAAGCAGTCGGAACAGTCTCAACTGAGCTCGCTAAAGTTTTACGTCGCGTCGTGGAATCCATTACGGAATATTAGTTAGGCCGATGGCAGAGAACGAGAAGTAAGCACTTATGTCTGTTGTAGACGTCTGTCGTGGACGTATGGT